TACAATTGAGTTAAAACTTTAGGAATTGAATTATAACAAGTTAAAATTTAAGAATTGAGTTACAATTAATTCAACACAATAAGGATTAAATGATTAATTTTTTTTAAAAATTTTGAAGCATTAAATTCACGAGTCTCTTTTACTTGTATGACTTTTTTTTTTTTTTACATATTTGCATGCTTGTTTGATTTTGATATGCATATTAACGTTAAATAATATCTTAATGTAGGCATTGTTTTTATTACATCAAAAAGTTTGAATTTGTGTCACCAAAAACAATTTGATCATTACACCCCCTACCTTATCTTTATCATTATAATCTGAGTGGAACCCTATTACAGAAAATTTTAGTTGTCTTTAAGATATACTAATACAATAAATAATTTATCAAGGTGACAATTACATGTCGAAACTTTGTTAAGGTTTGAATGGAAAATTGTTACAGGCAACATATCAACGTTCTTCTCATTTCTCAATAATTATTAGCAATATAGCCATGTGAGAGCTATATTTTGAGGTTTGTGGGAATTAGTCGGTTTTGGTTTTTGACCTAATCTAGCCTAATTGTCTTTGTATCTAATTCTGACAATATTCGATTAGTCTCTTTTCGATAAATGAATTTTTCTGCTTAATCTGCGAGTTTAGATAAAAACAAAAGAAATAAAACATCGACACAATGTTAATATCAATATAAAATATATAAAATAAAGTGATGAATAATATAATATAGCTCATTTTACACTTCTTGCATACATTACATATACAAATAATTGTGGGGAATGACAAATGGTGACCAAAAGATGAATTTAATTCCAGTTTGAACATAAAAATTCTAAATTTTCAGTATAGGGCCAAAGGTTATAAGTAATTTGAGTACATCAACACAACTTTAAAATACAGTTGTCGAGTTTTTGAATATGAGTACGAAATTATTTAAGAACCTTCGGTTATTTGTTGAAATTTCAGATTCTTTCAATCTTGAGCTGAAATTTAATTCTTGTTTTGTTCTCAAACTTTCATTCTCCCAAAAACTTGTGCTCTTGTATATGAAACATATAGGAAAATTGTTTATGAAGTTATTGTAAAGAATATAATATCGCCAGTATCATTCAGCAGTTATTATTATTTTTTTTATGCGAGAAAATCTAAAAGGGATAATGTGTAAAGTATATAGAGGATAAGTTGTTGCTTTTGGCCATCATCATACTTTATGTTGATAGTCAACTTTTGAGCTTTACGAGTTTGGCATATTTATTTACATCTTGAATTAAACATAATACGAATTATTATTAATTTACATAATAATTAATAAAACATAACTATTTTACTTAATGATTTTTATGTTATTAGGAGAAAGTCTCTTGAACTTAAAAAATATACTTGACTTGTATTAGAAGCCCCAAACCCCACCAGTAAAGTGTGGATTATTTTCTTCAGCCAAAGTAAAGCGTGGATTATAAATTCAATGAATTTTCTCATAGCATGCTAGTCTTTTGACATGAATTTTTTTAATTTGTAGTGACAGTATATACACTTATATATATATATATATTGTGTAATATATAATTGTAAATTTAAAAATTGAATGTGATAGATGTATGATTCAAAAAATGACAAAGAGATAAAATACTCACGAAATTATCAGTTATGAGCATCTAGTAATCTAAGATGAGAAAATGGTATAAATACTCATAACATTACTTAAGTTGCTATAAGAGTGATCAATTTGTTAAATTCATACAATGTTAACGATTTATTTGACACTTCAGTAGACACTGACCCTTTTTTTACATATGTGAACTAAAAGGGGGGCAAAATGACTCACAAAGTCATCGATTAGTAGTATTTATTACATTCATTTTTTTCATTGATCATCGTTGAATCCCTCAAGATCCTTAATGTTATTTTAATAGGTACAACAATGATCAATCTATTAAATCCCTTGAATGTTGATCATTTAATTGACATTTAGACAGAAACTAGCTATTTTTTCACTGATATGGACTAAAAAATATTCCTAAATGAAATTTTTTTAAGGTTGGTTGGTCATCATATGATGATGAGTCTCCACTTGAGACTCTAGTTTTGACGGCGAAAAAATATTATTTTGACCAAACAACAAGTTAAGTCACTTGTTTCTTTAAAATTCTTGTATCATTGAAACTTCTTCTTAATGATCCGAATCAATCAAGGAAGTCCCATGTAGCAGAATTTCCTTTTCAATTCATTTGCAACAGCACATCTCTTTCGAACGGGCTCAACGACTCAAGTTCAATGCCCAATTGAGAGGGTTCTAGAAGATTGTGCTTAATTTTTAAAATTTTTTTGAGAAGCCTTTGCCTAAGAAATGTTTTAAATCTTTGTTAAGGGTATCATCGGATGAAAATAAATCATATGACATGGATTTTGGCAAATTGGTCAATATTCTTGTCATTTTTTTCACTTTAGGCTATTGGGTGCTCTTAATTGATAATATAATGGGTATTTTTGCTCCTTTTTTAGTCTATATTGGCAAAAAAAGGGGGTCAATGTCTGTTTAGGTATCAACTAAACTATCAACATTTAAGAAATTTAATAGATTGATCACTCTTAAACTAATGTAAATAATATTATGGGTATTTTTTTTCCTTTTTTTCATTTTAGATTACTAGATGCTACCATCCGACAACTTGGTGAGCATTTTTGCCCTTAAAAAAATAAAAATCATTTGAATTTATAATTAATATAAGAAAATTTAAAAGATAGAATGATTGGTATTTCAAAATTAAAAGTCTACATAATATACATGAGTATAATCCTTTTTCTATCAAGTGCATAATATATATGGTACTTAGGCTATGAAATATGCGTAAGGTTATCAAACTTGAGAGTTTGAGTAAAATCGTGATAAAAATATGAACTCAAATTGCAAACTCATAAGAGTTATTAATAAATATCTATTAAAAATATAAGATTAAATAATTAAAATATAAAATATGATTATAATTTGAGTTAAATATATTTCAAATATAAATCATTGAATTAAAATCCATCTATATTTATAGATTATCACACAAAACATAAAAATTTTATCACACAAAACAACTATACTTGTTTGGTTTCTGTTCTCATTTTTTATTTTTAAAAATATTTTGCAATACATTTTTTTAAATTTTTTTAAAATAAAATAAAATAAAAATCTATTTGGTTATATCAATTAAAAAATAAACTGATATTGATAGTTATATATAGTTAACGATAGTGATTAATAATAGAAATTAGTTAAGGTAATTATAATTTTTAATAATCAGATATAGTAAATTTTAAAAATAAAAAAATAAAATGAAAATAACTTACAGTTGTTTCTATTTTTTTGTTTTTAAAAATAAAAAAATGAAAACAGTTTTGAAAACAATTAAAAAAAACACTTATTCAAATAAATTTTTAAATTTTTTATTTTCAAAAATAAAAAACAGTCTTTGAAAATAGAAAACAAATAGGCTCTTATTTTTGATATTTTTTTCTTTTTTATTAATATTAATTTTTGCCTTTTAATTTTTTTCCCTCTTTAAGCTAGGTCTTATCACTTCTATGAACCGAATTCTACGTAATATACATTTAACTTGCTCAACTCAATAAAAAGTTAACAAGATTAATAAGTGTAATTAAGTTTATATATAATTTGAGTTTATAAATTAATTGATATGATTTTGTAAGTTAGAAACATAAAAACGATAAATATAAAGGTAAACTTATGAGTTTAACTAAGTTTGTATTTAGTCTAAATTTATGAGTGAATTGATATAATTATGTGAGCATTAAATTTAAAGAGTTAACTCAAAAGTTTGATAACCATTGATACATGTATATAGTATTTATAGACACTCAAAACCTATGCCTAATTCAATTTTTTTTCCGCACCCTAGTTCCACAAGAAACGGGCTTTTATCAGGCAAGCATTTTAAACTATTTTTATTTTTTGAAGCGAAAAATGGGTTACAAAGCAAAATTGCCCTAATATTATATGCAGCAGGTATTCTTAAACTTTTAATTGGTATGGTTTTATCTTGGAAGTTTAAAAAATGAGACAATATTGTTCTATATTAATGTTTGATCAATATTACTCGTTAATTGAATAATTATATAAAATCAGGATTAAAGGGAAATCTTGCCCAGCAAAAGTTTTTCTGAACAAGCACTAATATCCTAAACTTTCAATTAGTATAATATTTTGAGTTATTAATATTCAAATCAAATATTTATTCACAAGGAGGTTTGACTGTCTAAGCTTGTACATGTTAAATTGTAAGCAAGTACAAGGGACTAACCTAAGGTTGGAGGGTGAATATAAATGACCTGGACTTAACATTTGTAGATCATGACAAGAAATCTACTTTACTACTCGTAGTACCCAGCTGCGCATTTAATTTGTCAGCAAAGGATTCTAATTATTATTATTATTATTTTTTTGCCAACAAGGATTCCAATTATAAATCCATGGAAATTTTCTTATGGCATTATTAACGACCCATCCATTATGGTGAGTAAATTTGTTATAATCGAAAATTTATGATACCAATTATTCTCTGAGACAAATTTTTGAAATAAAACTGTTCTTTAACTTTTAAAAATCGTTAATTAAACGTGAGTCAAATATTATTACAAGATAAACATTACATATTTTTAAAACTTTCAAATAACAATTTTTTCAATTAAAATAAAAGAATATCAATTACATCCGAGGCAAATTTTCCGTATTATCCTAAAAAGATTTTATCTTATTCTGATCAAATGACCATGAATTGTGGAGACTCGAGAGGAAACAAGTTAACGAGAATCTATAATCTCTGAAGCGTATCACTATATATTGTAATTTACTGAGCACCCGGTGGGCCCAAAAGAACTGAACCACCCCCCCTTTTCCTTAGCCATATAATAACATTAAACGGATAAGGAGAGCACTATCATTATATTAATATTAATAATATAAATATATATAATATTCTCCTTCCCGCTTGCCTGGCCAAAAGCACTCTCTCTCCTCCCTTTGCTTTTCCTGCCTCTCTCTAGAAATCGTACGCCAACCAACGCACACGGCACACTTCACTAAAGTCCCGCACCCTGCCTCTGCTTCTCTCACGAGTCGCACTCTTCGAACCGTTTCTGCTTCTCCCCTGTTGCTTTCCCCCTGGATGCTCCTCCATCTTCTTCAACCTCTGCTTCAATGAAGTTCTCTGCCTTCTTTATCATTCCCCGCACTCTCTAACTTTACCTTCCTTCTTTGCTTCGTGCCCGTCAGTCGTTTGGCTGCAGAAATCCCGTTTCTCTCGCTTTTGGAGCTACATATTATTGTTCCTTTGAACCCCCCCCCCCAAAAGATGGAAAAGAAGCAAGGTTTCTTCTCGGCTTTGAAGGAAGAGGTAGTTCGTGGCTTGTCGCCCGCGCGTTCTCGGGCAAGCAGTCCGGGAAGAACCGGGTCGCCCATTTCGGGTCTTCTTCGGAGAAAGAAGCGTAGCAACCATAGTAACTTTGCTGTCAGCCCTGACTCGGCGATCGGAAGATCTGGTAGTATGAGGCCGTTGGGGGAGACCTTGACGCCGCTCATAGAGGGTCCGGAGCCGAACGGCGGGGAAAATGGGGATGCGAAGAGAGTCGGGTCGGGTATTGGGCAGTGGATGAAAGGCCAATTGTCTCGGGCTCCTTCGCCAGCCTCAACGTCCTTCAAGAGGTCTGATCTGAGGCTTCTTCTTGGTGTGATGGGTGCTCCTCTCGCTCCTGTTCATGTTAGCGCCACTGACCCGTTGCCTCATCTCAGCATCAAGGACACTCCCATTGTAAATTCTCTCTCTCTCTGTTCTCTACTTCTCTGCGTGTGAGAGAGCATGTCTCTATCTGTGTTTGTGGAAGGGTTATTGAAGTTCCTTTTCTGATTTCGATTATTTTCAAACAGAAAACTAGAAAAATGAAAGGTGGAAGCACATGGTGCGCAGATTAGAGAAGATTCTCTATTTTTTGGATGCATGTTGTTTCAAAATTTTGGACGTTTTCTCAGCGTTGGGAAAATTTTCTCTTACTAACCTTTGACGAATTCGGCGGTTTTTATGGACCTTTTCATGTTTTGAGTCACTTCAAGATTTTGTATACTTTTAGCCCTTCAATTCTAGTTTTCCTTGCTTCCTAGGTTATCCTGAAATGGTTCATCTTCGGACTCTTCGCTATAATTTCGGTTCATGCTGGTTCACGAGATGCTTGGCTGCTGAGCAAAAGTGGATGAGAACAGAGAGCTAAAACATCTCTATTAATGCTATTTTCTATTTACATATTTCACTTTCTTTTGTACAAAATAATGGACTATGAATTAGCAACGATATACATGTAACCTCAAAACATGATAATCATGTCTTGATGTAGTTTCCATGCCTACACAGTGTAAATCAGAAAATATGCCTGGCTTTGTGGTTATCTTGGCTAACTTGTCGATTATCTTTCTCTCTGAAACATTGAAAATCACTCAATATCAGCAAACTTGCTCCTAAATACTAATCTTTATTGTATTGTTGTGTGGATGAACTTGCAGGAAACTTCATCTGCCCAATACATATTGCAGCAGTACACAGCAGCTTCTGGGGGCCAGAGGCTGCAGAACTCTATTAGGAATGCCTATGCAATGGGAAAGGTGAGAATGGTAGCTTCTGAGTTTGAAACTGCCACAAGGGTAGTGAAGAATCGCAATGCCTCTAGGTGTGCCGAGTCTGGTGGATTCGTGCTCTGGCAGATGAATCCTGATATGTGGTATGTAGAGCTTGCAGTTGGGGGAAGTAAGGTCCATGCAGGTTGTAATGGCAAGCTTGTTTGGAGGCACACTCCCTGGCTCGGTGCTCATACAGCCAAGGGACCTGTGAGACCATTGCGTCGTGCACTTCAGGTTAGGCTTTGTGTTTAGATATGGTGTTAGTGCTCCACTTCTTGATCATCTGCTTTTTCTGAGTTGTGTTTGTTTCTTCAATTAGGGCCTTGACCCTAGAACCACTGCTAGTATGTTTGCGGATGCGAGATGCATAGGGGAGAAGAAGATAAACGGTGAGGATTGCTTCATCCTTAAACTCTGTGCGGATCCTCAAACATTGAAGGCTCGGAGTGAAGGTCCTGCAGAGATCATAAGGCACGTTTTATTTGGCTACTTCAGCCAGAAGACTGGACTTCTTGTTCACATAGAGGATTCTCATCTGACTCGAATTCAATCTAATGGGGGTGATGCAGTTTACTGGGAGACCACAATCAATTCGTTCCTCGATGATTATAGGCCTGTTGAAGGCATCATGATTGCCCACTCAGGCCATTCTGTAGTTACTCTTTTCAGGTTCGGGGAGATGGCTATGAGCCATACCAAAACAAAAATGGAAGAAGCCTGGACAATCGAAGAGGTCGCGTTCAACATTCCCGGTCTCTCAGTAGATTGCTTCATTCCCCCGGCTGATCTGAGAACCGGTTCTGTCAGTGAAGCAAGTGAGCTTCCCCAGGATGAAAGAGGAAAGAACTCACTCGCAGTACACCAAGCCAAAGTTTCCGCGCTGGAGAAATCACAAGATTGCAGCATCAACAGCATGATGTGGAAGATGGAAGTCTAGCCAAGGGATATGATTGAAGAGGGAAGTCAAGACAATTGTTCATAGAAGTAACTAGTATATGACCACTAACACTGTTAGAAGAGGTTAGAGTAGGTGTTCATCCGGTTCTTTCATGAAAGTTTGTTTCTACCTCTATTTAATCTGTAAATGGAGCATAAAAATTCACAGGTTTCACTTCACCCGGATGATGAGGGTGATGACCAAAGTGAATCTTTATTCTCGGTGCAGAATCCAACTATGGAGTTGGAGCTCGGTTTTCCCAGTAGGAAGTGAGCAAATGGAGGTTTAGACTTTAGTTTGCCTTCCATTAATGAGAGAAGGTGGGTATAGTAGAAACGTTGTCATAAGCCTTTGTTACTTTACAACATTTCCTAGTTTCTGTGTCGGTGGCGGTAATATTAAAGAGGCTGCCGACGACAATTGAGTTTGAGTTGACACTAACAGCTAGGTTGGTTTATAACTCTAGTGTTGAAGACTTGCTAATGTTTTTCATGTTCTATGGTGTCGTGAAGTTGTCTCTGGGTTTGGTAAGTTCAAGGGGGGTGGTGTTTTTTATAGCTGAGATAATGGATTCAGCGGTTGTCTTGTGCTTTTTTGTCAGTGTTTCTGATTCTGAACGTGATCAAATGTAAACGCTCATTTATGTCCGCAGGATAATTAATGCTCATTATATATAAAAAATTAAAAACATTTTATTTACCGAGTAAGGAAGGCAAAAATTGCAGTTCAGAGTGCACACCATTGTGATGAAGTCAGGTTGCTTTTGCTTTCTTCATCACTCTTAAGGCAGCTTTTAATTTTACCACTATTATTTTTCACCTGCTTTTTGCAGGGATTGTCTTTCTCTCTCATTGCTCTGTGTGCTGGAGCGGGAATGTCTTTTTATTTTTATTTTTTATTTTTTTAATTTTTACTGCCCTTCTCAAGGAGAAGGTTCCAAATCATTATGATGCTTCAAGTTGAAGATAGTCAACGAAGTCTTGTTTTCTCTTTTAGGCCTCGGACCCTTCTTTACAGCTCGTTGGATGTGCATCGATGCACTGTGTTAATGTGGTTTTCTTTTCTTTCGTTTTTTCTACCAAAAAATATGTGCTTTTCTTTTTCTTTCATTAGAAGCGGCACGTGAGGCTATTTTGATTAGGATATTGCAGGTAATCATTATTAGATATATTTGATAAAAACAATTTAATAATTCTTTAATTGAACATCATATAAAAACGTAATTTTTTATTAACATTTATAATATTTTCAGTTTTCTTTAAAATGAGAAGCAATTATCATATATTACAAAATAATTTTTTACTTTTTTAAACAAAAACAAAAAACGAGGTATAGATCTTATGTTTTGCATGGAGTATGAGACAAGGTATTATCCATGGCTTTTGACGAAGAGTGTGGATTTTTTAAATAAAATTAATCATTCATTTCCTATAATCTTAACTCAGGTACAATATGGTATTTGGAGTGTAACTTAATCAACTTAATTCATCAAGTTTTAGTTTTAGTTTTTTGGCCACAAAATCACGTTTTAGTTGTTTAATATATTGGTCCTTACATGTTTAGAAAATCATTTACTCTTTTAAGATTGGATTGTAACCAAAATATAAAATGTAAAGGCGAACATATTAAATGGTTAAAACTTGAGAAACTAAGTGGTAATTAGTCTGATAAAAATTATAAGAATTAAATAATAAATTTTTTTGCGTGCTCATACATACACACACATATATGGAGAGTTTGAATTTGTATGAATCACTACTCATACTGCAGCACTTTGATACCACTTGAATTTAAAATTTTAATTAAATAAAATTTATGATCTAAAATTCAGAAAAATATGCTAAAAATAATTTAAGAATATATTAGTAAAAAAATTGAGATGTTTTTAATGGAAATAGGTTTTTTATTTTTTATTCATAATATCTGGTATGCTGAAACATTTTAGGTTTATGTTGAAAAATAAAGAAAAATGTTACTCTCTCCGTTTGAGTTATAAAATACTTTTAGATAAAATCTCACATATCAATAGAACTCATTAAATATCCTTTATAATCTTACTTTTTTTAAGATAAAAATATAAACTTTTAAAAATATCCTTCATTTAATATTTTATTGATAAAAGAATATTGACAAAATAGAATATATAGAAGAATAATATTAAAAAATTATCATCAATGAAACCTTATTTTATTAAAGTATTTTATATTTTGAAAACTTATTTTATTAAAATATTTTATATTTTGAAAATTGATTCATGGATTGATGAGAAAGGGTCAAACTCAAACGTCAGAGGACGTTGAGGTTGAACCTCGCTGTCTCAGAAGTTGGGTCGGGCGCTTATTGTTGATGCTACTTAGGACCAAACTTCTTTGTCGTGTCTCATAAAATCTGTTACGATGGGAATTTTGTAGGACCTCTTTCATTTCTTACGGACTTGATCGCCTAATTATTTATGGCTTCATCTCATTCTCACATTCATACCTAACTCTGATTTGATTCTGACCATGCGAGTTCTCATTCTGACTCCGAAGCGTTATTTTAAGCGGGAATTTAATTAGGTTTTTTTTTTGGTCATGCATATAATTAGGTTTTTATTATTGAAAGATTAAATTAATGATAATTAAGTTTTTCATAATATTTTTTACAAAATAAAATAAAAATATCAATTTAAATAATTACAATTTGAATAATTTCATTGTAAATAAAAATTTTAACTCTTAACTATTGCTCTTGTGCTATAATTGAGATTTTTATTTATAATTATATGACTCGAAATGTATACCTCATTTTGTTAAGAAAAAATTTGTTTGAGATTTAATTTTTATTCATTTAATCTTTTAAAATTTAATTATCATTTTCTTTTATTTTAATTATAATTTTTCTTTTGAAAATTTTTGCTCAACTTGCAATTTAATATCCCCTCAACCTTCAATTTCTTCTCCAATGTCTATACCCTAAAGCCAAGGAGAAAAAAAAGTGAAGTCTCTCACAAGAGCGAATTACTGAGGTCTCTAACAATTTTTTTTTTAAAAAAGAGTTGTAAATATTAATTCAAACCATTACATGAATTTATTAGCTTTAATTACAAATAAGATATTTAACTTTAAAATGTAACTCTACTGAAAATATATAACTCTCAGTTTGTAACAGTCATATTTGCAACCGTATTTGAAATCAATTTCTAAAATAAAAAAATTAGAGATCTAATTGTCACTTATTCGCTCTTTCAAAACACAACTGTCATTTTCTCTAAAAGTAGTTATGGTTAACCAGTGGTGGCACTCAAAGGCTATGATCAAGGAACTTGGCAAATCACAAATGGAAAGGGATTCAATTCTTCTCAAATATTATATCTAATCTCATTTATAAATCACTTTTAGTATTCTTCATTTGAATTGAGTAAAATTTTAAAACTTATTAATATTATCTTAAAATTTAATAAGTTTTCACATTTGTTTTATAATAAGAACAATTTTTTAATAATTTTTTAATATTTAATAAAAACAGTAAGGTAATGACAAATATAGAAGATAATAAAATACTTTATAAGTAAAACGAAAATCAATATTTTTTTCTATTTTATAAATAGGATCTGAGGGGTAAAATTGATAACTCAAATCTTATGGATAAATATATATATTAAAAAATTATTTTGAATTGAGCTACATAATACTTAAATCTCTAACTTGTTAGCATTTAATATCATATAATCATTATGGAGGATGATGATGTTATGCATAAATTAAAATTTGGGACAGTTGAATTTTTGGTGTTTTCATATTTTAACATGTATTGTCATCATAATTTTGTACTTTGTATTATTTGGACAAAAAATAAAAATTTAATCAGGACGAGGTCCGTCTATTTGTAATAATTGATAATTGATTGATTGATCATTAATATAGTTGATAAATGAAGTTAACGTGGCTCTTCCAAGCTAATAGGTAGGGTCGTCAATTAATGGCCATACAACTTGCAAACACAAAGGTACAGGATCTTGAATTTGAGGGCCACGGTTGCATGATATAATAAATATTTCAGTCCTACATTTCTTTTACCGTCAATTGATGTCAATCACAAAATATCCAACTATGTCAATATACAAAATCAATTTTATAGAAAGTAATTTATTTAATTTTTTGGCCAACTGATTTCTAATTAATAATCAATCATCATTAATATTATATAATTTGTTATAGAAGCTAAAAATTTATCAATACAAATTTTTTCAGGAAGCTAACTTTATGAATAATGTTCACATGTTGTTTTTGATAAATTATTTATTTATATGATTTATTAAAATATTTATTTTAGGAAAAATTATGTTTAAGCTTCATGAACTAGACTTATTTATAATTAAGTCTTAAAAATTTAAAAATTGTAGCTAAGTTTCTTGAGACTTGAGAATTTTAAAATTGGGATATGATGATAATTCCATCCTCACTTATCCAATAGATTAAGTTATAGTTGTAAAATTATAATTATAAATTACTGATAAACTAGTTATAAATAATTAATATTAAACTTCATTAGTAACTTGTGATCGGTTTAACTTATGAATAATGTTCACATGTTGTTTTTGATAAATTATTTATTTATATGATTTATTAAAATATTTATTTTAGGGAAAAATATGTTTAAGTTTCGTGAAACAAACTTATTTATAAATAAGTTTTACAAAATTTAAAAATTGTAGCTAAATTTTTGAGACTTGAGAATTTTGAAATTGGGGTATGAATGACAATATCATCCTCACTTAGTGAATAGATGAAGTTATAGTTATAAAAAATTAAAATTATAATTGTAAATTACTGATAAAGAAATTATAAATAATTAGTATTAAACTTTATTAGTAATTATGATCGATTTAACTATTAGATATATAAAGTTATAATTATAAAATTTTGAAGTGATAGGTATAAATTGCTGATGAGATAATTGCAAACAAATAATGTTAAACTTTGTTATTAAAGCATGATCATTTTAACTATTAGATATGTGAAGATGTAGTTGTAAAATATTGAAGTGATATTTATAAAGTACTAATAAGGTAGTTGTATATAATTAATATTAAATTTGTAATTATTGGATGTGTAAAATTATAACAAATTAAAGTGATATTTGTAAAATATTAATTAAATAGTTTGCCAAAAACATATTGATGAAATATTTATGAATTACTTGATTGATATAATTTATTTTTAATATGATTAGGTCCCAAGGAATTTGGTTGTGCTGCTGAATTTCACAAGATTTATTGCAATTTTTCCTTTATTTTATTAGTAATTATGCATTCTGGTTTTGTGAACGGATTCTTAATTAACATTTGAAAGTATTAGTTTAGTGCTTTTAACTCCATGTTTATAATTTGCTTGCTGGTACTAAGACTCTGTTACCGCTTCTTGTTTTGTTGCTGGTTTGAATGAAATATCTTTCTTGTTGCCAAAAACTCCATGTTTATGATTTGATATTTCGAATTTTAATAAGTTTTGACTTGATATTTAGAATTGAGAAGCGTAATTTCTTTCAGAATCGCTCCTTTTTTTTTATTTTTTGTTCTAATAAAGATGATATAATAAATTAGGAACAAAAATTCATTCCCAAATTGCATAGTGAGGAGGATTGGAAATAATAATAATAAAAAAAAACATAATGTAGTTTATTTATTTCAGTCAAATGTGTAGATGGGA